CTCCACATCTTTAGTGCACGAGACCATCAAGTCTCTGACGTCTGTTAGAATGTATTCAGTGTTAGGGTTCCTCCTGCTGTCCGGTATGGTTCTCCTGCTGGGCCTCCTCGGGTTCCTCCTGCTGGGCCTCCGGCTCGGGTCTTCCTCCTGGGCTCCAGTTCGGGTTCCTCCTCCTGGTCTCCAGTTCGGATTCCTCCTCCTGGGTCTCCAGTTCGGATCCCTCCTCCTCCAGCTCGGATCCTCTCCTGGTCTCCAGCTCGGATTCCTCCTCCTGTCCTCCAGTTCGGGTTCCTCCTCCTGAGTCTCCAGTTCGGGTTCCTCCTCCTGAGTCTCCAGTTCGGTTTCCTCCTCCTGAGTCTCCAGTTCGGGTTCCTCCTCCTGAGTCTCCAGTTCGGAGGTTCGGGTTTCCTCCTCCTGGGTCTCCAGTTCGGGTTCCTCCTCCTGGGTCTTCCAGTTCGGGGTCTCCAGTCCCTCCTCCTGGGTCTCCAGTTCCCTCCTCCTGGGTCTCCAGTTCGGAGTTCGGTTCCTCCTCCTGGGTCTCCAGGGTTCCTCCTCCTGGGTCTCCAGCTCGGATTCCTCCTCCTGGGTCTCCAGTTCGGGTTCCCCTCCTGGGGATTCCTCCTCCTGGGTCTCCAGTCGGGATTCCTCCTCCTGGGTCTCCAGTTCGGGTTTCCCTCCTCCTGGGGTTCCCAGTTCGGGTTCCTCCTCCTGGGTCTCCAGTTCGGGTTCCTCCTCCTGGGTTCTCCAGTCGGGTTCCTCCTCTGGGTCTCCAGTTCGGGTTCCTCCTCCTGGGTCTCCAAGCTCGGATTTCCTCCTCCTGGGTCTCCAGTCGGATCCTCCTCCTGGGTCTCCAGTTCGGGTTCTCGGAGTCTCCAGTTCGGGTCCTCCTCCTGGGGTCTCCAGTTCGGTTCCTCCTCCTGGGTCTCCAGTTCGGGTTCCTCCCTCCTCTCCCAGTTTCGGGTTCTCCTGGGTCTCCAGTTTCGGGTTCCTCCTCCTGGGTCGCCCAGTTCGGGGTTCCTCCTCCTGGGTCTCCAGTTCGGGGTTCCCTCCTCCTGGGTCTTCCAGTCGGGGTTCCTCCCTCCTGGTTCGCCCCAGTTCGGGTTTCCTCCTCCTGGGTCTCCAGTTCGGGTTCTCCTCCTCCTGGGTCTCCAGCTTCGGGTTCCTCCTCCTCCTGGGTCTGCAGTTCGGGTTCCCTTCCTCCTGGGTCTCCAGTTCTTCCTCCTCTGGGGTCTCCAGTTCGGGTTCTCCTCCTGGGTCTCCAGTTCGGATTCCTCCTCCTGGGTCTCCAGTTCGGGTTCCTCCTCCTGGGTCTCCAGTTCGGGTTCCTCTTCCTGGGTCTCCAGCTCGGGCTCGACTGCCTCAGGCCCCCCGGAGGCTTTCACTTCAAGGAGGACGTGGATATGACACAGGGCCTCCACCATCTTTAGTGCACGAGACCATCAAGTCTCTGAGTCGTTATTAGAATGTATTCAGTGTCCGGTTAGGGTTCCTCCTGCTGGGCCTCCGGCTCGGGTTCCTCCTGCTGGGCCTCCGGCTCGGGTTCCTCCTGCTGGGCCTCCGGCTCGGGTTCCTCCTCCTGTGTCTCCAGTTCGGGTTCCTCCTCCTGTGTCTCCAGTTCGGATTCCTCTTCCTGGGTCTCCAGTTCGGATTCCTCTTCCTGGGTCTCCAGTTCGGATTCCTCCTCCTGGGTCTCCAGTTCGGGTTCCTCCTCCTGGGTCTCCAGTTCGGAGTTCGGGTTCCTCCTCCTGGGTCTCTTCGGGTTCCTCAGTTCGGGTTCCTCTTCCTGGGTCTCCAGTTCGGGTTCTCTTCCTGGGTCTCCAGTTCGGGTTCCTCCTCCTTGGTCTGCAGTTCGGGTTCCTCTCCTGGGTCTCCAGTTCGGATTCCTCTCCCCTGGGTCTCCAGTTCGGATTCCTCCTCCTGGGTCTCCAGTTTCGGATTCCCCTCCTGGGTGGTCTCCAGTTCGGGTTCCTCCTCCTGGGTCTCCAGTTCGGATTCCTCCTCCTGGCGTGTCCAGTTCGGTTCCTCCTCCTGGGTCTCCAGTCGGATTCCTCCTCCTGGGTCTCCAGTCTTCCTCCTCCTGGGTCTCCAGTTCGGGTTCCTCCTCCTGGGTCTCCAGTTCGGGTTCCTCCTCCTGGGTCTCCAGTTCGGGTTCCTCCTCCTGGGTCTCCAGCTTTCCTCCTCCTGGGTCTCCAGTTCGGATTCCCTCCTCCTGGGTCTCCAGTTCGGATTCCTTCCTCCTCCAGTTCTCTCCAGTTCCTGCTGGTCTCCAGTTCGGATTCCTCCTCTGTCTCCAGTTCGGATTCTCCTCCTGGGTCTCCAGTCGGATTCCTCCTCCCTCCAGATTCCTCCTCCTGGGGTCTCCAGTTCGGTTCCTCCTCCTGGGTCTCCAGTTCGGATTCCTCCCCTCCCAGTTCGGGGGGTCTCCAGTTCGGATTCCTCCTCCTGGGTCTCCAGTTATGGTTCCTCCTCCTGGGTCTCCAGCTCGGATTCCTCCTCCTGG